TTACTGCTGGAGAAATATTTCCTGAATGAAGATTCCTAAATTCTGCACAAGAATCTTATGATAGTGAACTGTACTGTACAATACGGAATATCAGAGGAAGGATGAGTCGCATCTCTAAGATAATTTGAGTCTTAAAATAAATCTAAATGAAATAATTGGAAAAGATTATAGAGAATATTGCAGCAGAACTGAAAATATTTTAAATTAAAAAAATAAAGATGGTAGGTTAGTTTAACTTTGTATATAGTAACAATACGCTCACTAAAATATTAATTAAATATAATGGAATATAACACGAAGATAAAATGTGATGCAAGTGAAAAAAATATAATCCAAAGTACCAGTGTGTAAATATAAAAAAAATAATCCTATTTATTGCAGTTTAAGAGTCAGATGCGGCACTATTAATGGTAGTATAAATAAATCAAATTGCCAAAATTTGAGACTGTAAAAACCGATTAAAATTAATCAGAAAATGAATTATAAATATAAACGAGTGTGCTAAAAATATATATAATAGGTACGTAGAAAATATTATAGAAGATGGTATAATTAGACACCAGAGTGTAAATAATCAACTTAGCTAACAGAATAACATGACTGTAGTTATACAGTCAATAAACAAAATGCAACAGGGGTAAAGACTAATAATATTGTTAGACACATAGCCAACAGTTAGGCATGTTTAATCCGAAACGTATCGTCTACACAGTAGGCTTCTTCAGTCTTAGCTATTTCTACAGTGAAGAAGATTAGCATGTTCCCATCCAGTGGCTAGTTACATCTTTAATTGAAGACAGTGAACTATACAAAAGATCAGGTAATCAGTCCCTCTTCACACCAACTCCAAGGCTGAGGGACTGATTACCTCATCTTTTGATAAAGCCCCTGGATGGCGAAACTTCTACAATAAAAATACCCAGATATTGCACATTTGTCTAAATCTTCTTCAGTCGAGTACAGAAAGTAGGCTGAAGACTTGAAGAAGCCTAATGTGTAGACGATACGTTTCGGATTAAATACGTCTAACTGTTGCCTGTGTCTTACCAACCTGTTGTTATTGTGTACCATACTGTTATTCACTAATAATATAGCAGTAATACATATCAATAAAACAACTAGCAGTGTGCCAGAGACAGAATAATAAATTAAATACACCTTAACATGCAGAAAACACTTCGGTATAAAGCAATATTTATATATTTGACTTTATAGTCATAAACAGAATTACATTAATAACATCAACATGATACACAGATGTATACAAAAGTTGTATTTTACAAATAAATGCATGATAAACAGAATATAATTTGGTGAGAAAGTTTGTGGATCAAGACTAAAACCTTAATGGAAAGGAATGTCAACACGAGGCTTTGTGATACACATATCAGAAACATTAAATAAATAAATTTAATATGGTTAAGTGAATTATTTTTACTGTGTAAGAAAGGTTACAAATATCAAATGGTACTTATGCCAGATATATGATTCGAGATAAGTGGAATTTTAGGAAGATGGTTGAGCATTGTTGATAGAGTGATATTCAAGCAAGAGTTAGTAAATTTTAGCTCTTAAGGATTACTGAGTAATTGATACTTCATCAAGTGTTGGGATTTGTGTGTGTGTGTGTGTGTGGGTGTGTGTGTGTGTGTGTGTGTGTGTGTGTGTGTGTGTGTGTGTGTGTGTCGTCTTCAGAAAAAATTATTCATTTATTTTGGTGCATATCCTTTATCATCTAATATTATATTCCTAATGTTATTCTCGTTAATAGCTACATAAAAAATGCTTAATTGTATTAGCTGCTTTATAGGTAGGATGTCATGCATGAACTACACTGTGTGCTTTCAAATTATAATTTTTATTTGGCTGCCCGTGCAGCTAAACTGCTCTGTCACTTACCATACGCCCCCCAATAATTATTGAGGGGTGTGTGGTAAGCCGGTACAAAGGCTGATTTCGTACTTGCAGCGTTGCTTCTCTCTCTCTTTATCTGTCTCTCTCTCTCTTACTGGCTGGATATCATCGAAGCAACACCTCTCCTCTCTTCTTTGTCCGGAAGAAAAACTGATCTCCTCTGTTCGTTAAGAGTAGACTATGTGTTATTGAGCTGGAAGACACATCCCGTAACTCACTGCAACTCTGTTCACAGAATCATATTTAGAACTAGTGGTTTCTAACATTTCCTGAAGGTTGTGTTTCCTGAGACACTGTGCTTCAGGTCCAGAGTTTAAGTCTAGACCAACCTTTTTTTCAGTGACATCGGCAGGAGATGCATCATTACCCCCAATGAAAAGCAGCGGCGCCACGAGTACACTGAGACAACACAATAAGTGGGATTACCAAGATGTTGCCGTGTCTGTCAGGAATATAGAGAAATGGTTCAGAGAACCGACAAGTTGATAAATTAGACACATATGCAACCATTTCTCTACATTCCTATCAGACACTGCAACATCTTGTGATCTTAATACAGGGAATTTTTCACTTGTCTAACCTTTAGTCATGACCTACTTCCACATTTGGATTTGTCAATGTGATACCACCTACGACTGCTGTACCTCACCTTTGTACAATATATAAGCCACTTTCTCGCACTTACGCTGCATTCTTTTCAAGATTGATAGACTGATTACATCGACTCAAGGCTAAGGGACTGATTACCTCAAACTCCTCCTGTTTTTCACCATTCTCCTTTGTATGGACTGATGAAGCCACTGTGTGGCGAAACATTTCCTCATTAAAGATACCCAAATGTTGCACATGTGTCTAATTCATAGATTAAATGTCTCTAAAAGCAGCAACCAGGTGTTACTCTGGTGTTACACAGGTGTTACACAGGTATTGCACAGGTGTCTTATTATCATCTCGTCAATGTTATGTTCTTTTGATTTAATTCAATCTTATGCATAAAAAATGCATGATATTCAAAATTAAATTTCGAAATTTGAGTAACTTGCTTTATCTGAAGCCTCTTTTTAACTCACATTATTTAATATTATGTTATTTAATACATCTACGTTAATCAGGTTATACCTGAAATATTATTTTAATTTTCACTAAGGAAAACTTCTGTTTTAGACAGAATGAAGTGTTTCGGTACAGAAGATCGAGCAGTGTGGCAGAAGATGATCATTGTCTGTGTCACAGTACTCTCCTTCTCAGCTTCTGCTGCCACTCTTACTGCTCAGTCCTTCACTAAAGTAAGTGTAGTCAGTGTTATCTGGCCTCTTCCACCACTGTTATCACCACCTCCTTCAGTTAGCATTTGTAGGTTTAGTAGTATGTAAGTTAACATGGTACAGTGGCTAACGCGTCGGTCTGGAGTTTTGTGACTCTAATCGAGGGGTTCTAACCCCACTCGTGGTATGGTTTTTTTTATGCAAATTATAGTTGTTTCAGGTTCTTCGCTGTCCGAGAAATCAATGTTTCACTTGATATAACTAATGAACTAAAATAACTTTGAACATATATAGCATCATTACTCATAATATGTAACACGGATCAAATGTATAATGAACAGAGAGGTGTTAGTATTACATTTATACAGGAAAGTGACAGCCCAACCATAGGCATATCTGTGTGTGGATACATGGTATTATCAGAATGTCTAGTGAACAGTGTGTTATTGTGAAGGGATCATCATCATCCTTACCTAACCTGTAGCTTCAGCCTGGTTGATCAGGCTCTGATCCACCAGGAGGCCTGGTCACAGACTGGGCCGCGGGGGCGTTGACCCCCGGAACTCTCTCCAGGTAAACTCTCCAGGTAATCCCTGAGAAAACTGTCTTCCAGCCAGACAGCAGCTGACAGAAAAATGAGATGAAGGATGACTCTGGAGATCTGTGAACTCCTTCAAGTATATACATGTGAGAAATGTACTAAAAAGTACACGAGTCCCTGAGTAACAGTTACAAAAACAATTTAAAATTGCTGGCATGTCATTGATTGGTCTTAGCTAAATGGAAATAAAATTTATTGCAACATCGCGTGTAAAAGGAGACCTAAGTGCGTCCTCTCAGCTCTGTTTCCAGCGGCCAACACTTTACTGACAACATATGTAACTGAGAGATGTCAACAAGTGTCGCAGTGAGGAGGCTGGAGGCGGTAGTGAAGACGCTGTGTTTGAGGGCAAAGAGTGGAGTGAATGTTATGCAGAGAATTCGGAGCTTAATGATAGAAGGTGTGGAGTTATCATAAGTATAACACAGAGGAAGGAGGAGATACTGAAGCAGTGTCTACATCTAGTTTAAACATAGCTAAAATATTTTTCACAAGCAGGAATTCTTTGCAGATGACTGACCACTGCTGACCTTACAGCTCTGTTTATAAAAAAAAAAATCAGAGATGATTGTAAAAAACTCTGTAGACTCATCGCTAGTTAGTTGAAAATGAGCTGATATCATAGTGAAATAGAGCAGTTTACCTCTTAATACTCTTGTTATTATACTCCACACAGTTTACCCCAATGGAAATAAGTCACTCTGTTGATTTTTTTTGGG